TCATATTTGCAGAGAGTTTTACCATCAACAATTAAAATTAACATGTCTGAAAAACCATGACCTACTTTGATTCCAGGCCCAGGGATTTCCCAAGTCAGGATCTAAAGATTTCTTAGAGAGGCATAAAGAAACCAAGAGGCTGAGGGGTGTATAGTAGCAAAAGAAAAGCCTTCAAAGCAACCTGGTTCTGGCACTTACATCCTTCATTGATAATGCCCCTCTCTCCTCCTCTGCCTATCAGTCAACTGCATCCTATCTTTTTTGGTTTTATTTATTCCTGCTGGGATGTAAAGTGTGGAAAAAATTTTAAAGACTCCTTAAGTCAATAAACCTATTAGCCCATAAAACACACAATACATGATACATTATTTCCCCAAAGGAAAGAACATTTTAATTGCATGAAAGAAGAGAGCTATGCACTCATTAAGTACTCAATCCAGTCTATCAAAGGATAAGGAAAGATGAAAAATAGAAAATAAAACAAAAAATGAGTCACCATAGGCAATATGATGTAGGCCAAGTTATGGACAACTGAGGAAGAGGGACCAAAATAATAAAAATGTAGGTGATACATAGACATATGCCAGAATCATTTTTCCTCAAAAGAAACTATATACTCCTAGGGAAACTGAAAGTTCTATTCTGGCCTATCAAAAGAGAAAACCTCACAACTTGTTTTACTTCAAATTCTGTGATGTTTCAGTTGCTGAATTTTAAAAGTTCTTTTTTTTTTTTAAGTCTGTCATTCATTTAGTAAATTCCTTTTAACCAATATAATTTGGCAAAGTACTTTGCAAGTTCTAGTATTAGAAAACTGCATGGGACCTGAGCAGTGAAGGTATTTGCCTAGGTTCACAGCAAGGCTATCTCAGACGCCAGGCTTGGATCCAGGTCTGCCTGATTCCTTGTATCCCTTTCTGTAATATTGCTTTAGCAGACTAAGTCCCACTCCCACCTATATTCCCACATTTACCAAAAGTTTACAAATGAATCTTGAAAATTTAGCTACTGACTGGGTTATCTTCCCCACCCACATCATCAAGAAGAGGGACTGTATTCCTCTTTTTAAAGATCTTACTAAGGTAGACTGATCAGGTAGTGAGAATAAGGAATAACTGATGTACAACCCAAGAGGTCTTGAGGAAGTCCCCTCTGCAGAGAATTTATGACATGGACAAGAGTTGCATAGGACAAGAAGTTGTGGGTGAATTGTGATCTACATCTCTACAGGGAGCAAGTATCAAAGTCTTAAGAACTGTTCCAAAGCAATTTACTGTAATTAACTGAAAAACATACTGGTAGATGGTGGATCTTAGCCACTAGATTTTACTTAAGATTAGATGAAGCAAAAAACAAACAAACAAATAAACAAACAAAAAAACAAAACAAAAGAAAAAGAAGTTTAGAAATGAAAAGTAACTAAAGAACTAAACAAGTTCCCATGTTCCAATATCTCCTAAATAATTTAATACCATGTACTACAGCAGATTATGAGTAGTCCTGAAAGAAAACAAGATAGTATTTGGCATATGGGGTTCCTTACAGCTCTCCTGCAAGAGCAAACCCCTCACACAGCTTCTACGAACTGCTAGGAAAGTGAAGTCTAAACTTTTTTTTTTGCTCTTTTTGCTGCCTCACAGACCTACAACTCCTTATCAGACTGTGTCAGCAGACTTAAAAAATGTTTCCAACATGAATGTCAGTTCTGTTAGTTGTCCTTTGAATCTCAACTAGAGCCTAGAGTTAACATTTCCTGAAAGCTCTCCTAATGAAAATATGAGTCAGGAACTGAAATATGACTAAAGGGAACACCTTTCCAGCCACCTGCAGCACAGGCTGAACATAGTCTGAAACAACATTAACAGTTCTCTGGACTGGAAAAAACAGACTTTAATGGCTGCACCCGTCTCTAAGAGACAGTGCACAGCTGAATGCATTTAAATAAAAGGCTCACTGATTGGAAGGGTAGATTCCACAGTGTTGAAAGGCCAAGAAACAGGGGATAGAGATTTCTCATCCTCTGTTGCCTTGCACAGTAAACAGACAACACAAAACAGATGGTAGATTGCTTAGTTATCCTGAAACTGTGAGTGTAAGATCATTATTACCAGAGTTGGCTATGTTATAAAGACTGAATTTCCAACTCTCCCTACCAGTAAAGAGTAGAAAAAAGATCAACTGGTCACCTGTAAGAAGTCACAAAAACTCCCTGCTGGTTCATTTTTCCCTCATCCCATTAAACATTTCATGCTGTTCATCACATGAATTCAAAGGCTACAGGTAATCAGAACCTACACAGCTTTCTGGGGCAGGAAAATACCATATGAAAATCTCTGGATCACCTGTAAATTCATATGTTGCTAAGTAACTCCATATTTGAAGACAGATGTCACTAAATAACCTAGCTTGTTTATAATGAAATTTTGCTATCATAAAGGAAATTCAAATGATCGAAAACATGTATATACCCTCAAGATAACAACGAATAAACTGCTGGCCTTAGAGTCAAAAAAGCCTGAGTTAAATTTTGTCTCTGATGCTTAAGACCATGAGCAAGCTACTTACCCTCTGTGAGCCTATTTCTTCATCTGTAAAATGGGGATAACAGCACCTTTAGTACCTACATCACAGGGTTGTTGGAAGGCTTAATGCAAACTTTAAAGTGCTATATAATACCATTTATTTTTATTTTATTTTTTTTCACAATTAAAAAAAGTTATGCCTTAGATAGGAAGAACCATACTGTGTTTTACAGGTCAGAAATTACCTTCTGTAAAGAAGAATGAAAGAAGATGAATAGTTTAGGGAACCAAACAGCAAAGGGAAGCAGCATTCTTTAAACCAACTAAGAGTTAATGGGTAAATTAGTTCAGCTTTTCATCCTTCAGGCTTAGAGAAGGTAAATTCTATGGCTAAGTGAAAAAGATCATAGAACTATAAACTTAAGAGCTAGAAGGGACCTTATATTCCTCATTTTACAGATGAGGAAGCTGACATCCAGAGATTATTAAGGTTACACTGGTAGTGAGGTATCAAAACTGGGATCTGACCCCAGGTTAACTTAATTCAAAATTTAATATTCTTTAAGGCACAATGTTGTCTTAAAACCAACAGGTCCAAGGTATTAACAATCAAATGTCATTCTTGAATACACATTTTTTTACTGAATACTAACTGTTCACTCTGATAATTACTATGATTTTCCTACTCAATAATGTTTTTGTTTCAGAGAGGAAATGAGTAAGGAGTTGGTAAAAGAGATCCATGGATGGCAAGGAAAGTAAAGATACCATGCTATCACATCTCTTTCCCTAAAGTTAACCAGTGCATCTTAAGGCCACTTATACTTTTCTATTCTTTTTTTAATCACTGTTTGTAATGCCAAAACGAAAAGGCCAATTTGGCCACCACTTAAGTGAAACTATAGCTAGTTTCAATGCTGCTAAAATATTCTATAATCAAAAGTCTATTGTGTAACAGATAGCCCACTTTTGTGGGGACAGAGAATGATCTTCTTTTGTTATCCCACTGACAGAAAGTCAGCCCCCATGTACCTTGTGACCTAGTGACACTGGCCTCCTGGCTGTTCCTCCCACAAGATACTCTGTCTCTCAGCTCTGGGCATTTTATCTGGCTATTCCCACCCCTGCCTCCCCTCCCCCCAATACCTAGAATGTTCTCCCTCCTCATTTCTGCCTTCTGGCTTCCTTCAAGTTCCAGCTAAAAATCCTACCTTCTACAGGAAGCCTTTCCTGATCCCCTTTTTTCTAGCGCTTTCCCTCTTTTGTTTATCTCGAATTTAGGCAGGGACTAGCTCCTGCCTTTCTTTGTAAGCCCAGTGCATAGCACAGTGCCTAGTACATAAGAAGTGCTTAATAAATGCTTGCTGAATGACACCTGTATCGTATGGTACGTTCAAGCCAGAATTTTGCCATCTCCCATGAAAATACCATAGAGTCATGCTAAAAAATGCAATGATAATCACTACCCTAAAAACTTATATGTTTCATGCACATCAAGCTTCAAAAACAAAACCAAAATCCAATTTTTTAAAGGTTTTTAAACTATATACTGTTTAAAACTTTCAGCCTCTAAGGCTTCAGAGATACTTCAAAGGAGCCTCAAAATTTCCTGGTAACAACTCTTTAGAAACCAAAATTGTTCATCATTCCCCCTTTGGCTTTCTTTGAAGGCCCAAAAATGCCAACGCTAACAATTCTACAATTCCATCCCCTTGGTCATTTTCACTGTTCCTCTCTCAGCTCTCTCCATATTTCACACCTCTCTCATGTTGGTGAAGCCCAGGATGTTTCTGAAGAGTCTACAATATGAAATGACAGGTTAGCTTGTGGAGTATGTGTAAAAAGAAATGACCTACTGAAGAAGAGGATCAAAAAGAATCAGTGGCATGAATCTGGGAATGAGTAGCACAGAAGTGGCCAGATACAAACATGTGTACATGGCCACTCAAGGCTTACAAAGCACTCTCCTCTCAACAGCCTTGAGGCAGGCAGGGAAGAATTATTATCCCCATTTTATAGACAAAAGAATTGTGACTTGCCAGGGGTCACAAAGCTAGTTAAGTCAGAACTGGGCTGCAAATCCAGGTTTCCTAACTTCAAGTTCAGCTCTCTCTATCATGCTTCTTCTCACACAAGATAAATATGAGCAAGTGTGCTGTCCTAGAGTAGAGGAAGTAGCTAACTTCTATGCTCACGTTCTTTCTGGTTCTTGTATTTGTCTCGTGTCTCTCTCCTATTATCTATCTTTCTCTGTCTAATGTGCAGGCAACCTTGAAAAACTTTTGAATCTTCTCATCTCTGAACTTAAGACAATACCAACAATTGCAGAGAAAGGCATAACTGGGCTTTAAATAAGCTAAATACTCTAAAAAGGCAAGTTGTCTAAATCACTGAAGTTGCTGACCTAAAACACAAGTATTTTTTAATCAAATAAATCACTTTCTAAACAGTCCTGACTAACTGTTCAGGAATTTTTACCTGCATGGTACTTCCTCCTGGGGCACATCCACATAATAACGAATGAAAAACCGCTCAGAGTCTTCTCGCTCTCCATCAGTAACAACACTGCCATTAAGTTTGGAAACCGATGGCAATCTGTAAGTTAAAGCCAAAATAAAGACCCTTTGAAAAACTGAAAGTATTAATTCAGCCTGACAAATGGAAGATCCTCTGGTTTAGGATTGAGACTTAATATCTCCAAAATAAAGTAAATCCTGGGACATCCTAATAAGAGCGACACTGATATAAAATGAAGATTTAAAGAAGAGGTAAACAATGTGATAGGAAAAGAGAAGCAAAAGTCGGGCATTCTGAAGTCGACATTCTAGCTATGAGACTCCCTTTGTGGGCATATCTTACCTTCAGCAGAAACGGTTATGAAGAGGAATAAATACTTACAAGTCCAGACATTAGAAAATAATAATGTTGGCACAACAACTATGTAAATCAAATGATCTGCAAAGAATGCTTCCTTTGAAAGTACACAGAGACTTATTCTTTTAGTAAGATATTATATGCAAATTAATCTACTTTATTTTTATTTTTTGTTTTGTTTTTGTTAGGCAATGGGATTAAGTGACTTGCCCAGGGTCACACAGCTAGTGTCAAATGTCTGACTCAGGTCCTCCTGACTTCAGTGCTCTATCCACTGCACCACCTAGCTGCCCCAAATTAATCTACTTTAAAGTAGCAAAGTGGCTGCCTAGGTATTTTAGTTCAGACTGATTCATTGTTAGAGAGGTTACTCCTTTTAGGACATACATTATATCTAAAGCCTTCCAAAACCACTTACTATGTATGTGTTTTACTAAAGAAATCAAAACCACAGTTTTCTCCATGACTCTTCCAGAATCTCATCTTCAGCTAAAGAAACCTACTACATGGTGATGAGTTACTTTAGGATCTGTCAGAGGCAGAGGATGTAGGAAACTTGGGAAGAGGAAGCTAGGAATGTAAGCGAAACCAATTTATGATTTAATTAAACAAAAAGCTGATTATAATATATTCCACATGACCATTTACACTGGCATGGAAAATATGGTTGATTTAAACAGAAGAGAATTCTCAATAAATTCCACTTTCCTGTATGCCCTAAAATAGCATTCCAAATGTTCCAATTATTAACAGATAAAATAATAACAACATTTTTTGTAGTGCTACGTACCAGGCACTGTACTAAACACTTTACAATTATCTCCTTTGATCCTCACAACATCTCAGGGAGGTAAGTGTTGTTATTAACCCTATTTTACATTTGAGAAACTGAGGCAAAAAGAGGTGAAGTAACTTGCCCAAGGTTACAAAGCCAATGAAGTGTCTAAGGCTGGATTTGAACTCAGGTATCCGTAACTCCAGGACTCTGAACCCAGGACTCCTGAACCCAGTGGATCTATCCACCATGCCATCTCTATGTCCCCCTCCTACCTCCCCCTAACCCCCAAGACAATAAATTCTTTTGATTCTGTGGCTCTTATTGGGCTGACAATTTTTGCTTTTTCTTCCCAACTATTTTTCCCTTCATTCAAAATCTTAGTGCTCCAGAAGGAGGTTCTTCCAGAAGTGGTTACTGCACATAGGTACTGCTGCAGGTACACTCACTGATATGTTTCTTCCCATAACTCTGCCCATACAGTAGCCTTGTGCCTTAAGGAAAGCCCAGTCATACTCACATGATAGGAGAGAAAAATCAACAAAAACAGACCTGGCTATTACCAATTTCCTGCGCTCTTCAGTGGTGTATGGCTGCAGAAGAGGTATCCCTAGCAATCTTACTTCTTCAAGTTTGGGGAATGAATTTAGTTTGTCAATGTCTTCCCAGGAATGCAGACCTGCTTTGAGAAAAGCAAAAACAAGAGTACACAATGAATTTACAAGATTAAAAGAAAAAGTAAAAAGTGGATTAAATTGATTAAAATAATTAACATGATTTTCTAAATAGAAACATAGGCCTGTACACTAGTTATAGAGCCTAAAATCTCATTAGTCAAGGATGAAAAGTCAGCATGATATAATGGGAAGAGCTTTGGCCTTGGGATCAGGAGACCTGAGTTTGAATCCTGGCTCACTCACTTATGAGTCTGGTGACTACAGGCAAATCATGTCACAGCTCGGAGCATCTGTTTCCTGCTCTAATTGAGGGTGATCATATATGCATTACCGCCTTCACAGGGGTGCTGTGGAGAAAGTACTTTGCAAACTTTAAAGTGTTGCTGAAATATGAGCTATCCTGAGGCAACAGAGTGCAATAAGTCACAATATTAGCCTCCTTATATTCTCCCAACAGCAGCTACACTTTGACACAAGCTGTCAGCAGTTGGGGGGGGCAGTTTCATTCTACAATGTTCATTCATCCAATGATTCTTCATAGACGCTGCTTAGATGCCTACTAGCAGTTTGGAGGAGAGACATTTCTCCACTACACTCTGGAGCAAGTGTCACTGACTCTTTTCACCTACTGAGCCAAAGAGAGGATACAATTTTTGAAAAGTGTTGAGTCATGTTCAATTTTTCACCTAGTTCTAGGTGATGAATTCTGAAATATGGGGAGATAAATGCAGCCAAAACCGATTATTTTTCTTGTTTATTGGAAAGATAATAATTTGGATCGTTTGAGTCTTTATTCAACAGATATCCCATTACCCATACCAGAATTTTATTGTTGCTACTGTGGTGGGAAGGATAAAAACAAATTAAAATAAAAATCAAAGAGTTTCGATAAACACCACAAAACCACGACCTTTGGGGATAGAAGATATGTGGTATTTTCAAAATAAATGATCTGATAGATATAAATTGAAATTCCTAAGCACAATGCAGCAAGTTAAGAATAGACTTTTCAGTCCCAAGATGAAATCCTGCCTTCTGTTAGGAGCAAATATACTATCCTGGTCAATATTTGGCTCAGGCCAGAGAAGCATTTCTGTAATAACACAGCTAGTCAAGGGTCCATGTGACAAAGACCTCAGTCCCTTCCTGCTTCTGTCAACCTTCAGCAAGGTTAAAGGTAGAGAAGTAATTTGCTTCATAACTGTCCTCCTAGCTCCAGGATGGACTCTGTATCTAGGAGAAGGAAGAAAGCAGTTAACTCAAGGGATGCATATTTGAAAAGTAATCAGCTTCCTTAAGGTGAAAAATACATATATTTTTTATTAATTCATTTCTCAATCCCAAAACCTGTACAGTCAGGTAAATTAAGCCTATAAATTGGCACACAGTCAGGCTTTTTTTTTTGATGTACTGATCACTTTTGCTATATTTTTTCTCTTCTTCCTCTTTTTCTATTTCAAAAGAGTTACTGATTTTAAGGGATAGCTCTCTGAGAGGAGAGGGGGATGAATACAAGGGGAAATCTAGGCAACGGAAAATCAAAGTATCAATAGAAATCTATTTTCTGAAAAAGAAAATAGTTCAAAAGATGCGTATCTGAAGAAAAAATCAGCTTCCCTAGGGTGAAAACTATCTTTTCTAATTTATCTCCCTCTCCATAACTTCTATTGTCATGTAAATCAAATCTATAACTTTCAGTTCCAAGTGAATGCTATTTTTAGTTTTGTAGTTGTTTCAGTACATGAAGGACCTATAATTACATTTTTGTGGTACTCCTCCTTGGATACGGATTGGACTTCCTCCCATGACTAAGTATATAACTCCTGAGTTGCTGTGACCAACAAAATCTTCACCCTGCAAACCAACCTGATGACAAGCATCTCTGACCTTAGGCTGGCTGGTTCTTAGATAAAAGGCATACAATCTATTATCAGATACAGAATTAATACCTTTCTAGCTTGGTAAGATTTTCCAGACCTTACATTCCATTGTTCTAACCACTGAGAATCCATGGGCACCACACCACAATGAGGCATGAATGAAGACTTTGGTGAAGGTTGTTTCAATAAATATGCTAAAAATCTTTAACCCAATGAAGAGTGGGATTAAGAAGCAGCTAATTAAATAGTAATGTATACTAGGGAAAATACCATCGGAATTAAAAGGGGGCAGGAAAGTCAGCAGCAGGTTTCGAAAACTGAAGCCCAAATGGGATTTTCTAGCTAATATCTCCTTATGCTCTAATCTCTGTCTTTTGTTATTTAGTTCATTCATTGGTTTCCATATTTTTATAGCTTCTTCAATGATCTGTGATTTCATCAGTGGTGATCCTCCCGCTATTGATGCAATTAACAAGCCTTCTGAAAGTTCACAGATGGTCTTTTAAAAGTAATTGTGGCTGAAAAATTCATCACATTGTGGCTGCCTGGCTGTGATCCTCCCTGAACTTACGTTTGTTCACAGACAAATGACATGTATTTAGTTTTTCCATCCTGGTAGGGTCTGTTAACAGTTTTCTAGAATCTAGGGTCCCCTGGATGCCACAATAAGGCATGAGAAGAGGACTTTGGTGGAGAATTTTCATAGCATGATCACTTTAAATATAAATCATAAATTAATATCTATATACTGCTATACCTCTCAATATTTATATAACACCAAAGCTCTTCTGGAAAAGAAAAGAATGCATTAAATATAAGTACATTAGCTTGTCATCAGGGAATGAGTCATCACAGCTGAAAATTAATACCAAAACAAGAGATGAATATGACTGAAAAACATAAACTTTCTTTTTCATTCATGCACAAGCTCAGCTCAATTTGCATGGGGAATGGAAAGAATTTTGTGGCTTTAGTCCCCACCTGACTTGTGAAGGCTGATGGAGCGCAGATTGGGAAACAACCTTGCCAAGGAATCATCAGGCTCCTCAATGGCATTCAGGTGATTGTTGGCCAGGATGAGGGTATCCAGTGAAGGAAACATAACTCCTAACTTTCTAATTTCAGTCCAGTTCTGAAGGTTATTATCTGTGATATGGAGTAGCTTAAGAGATTGACAGCAAATAGAAGAACAAGACACTGTTTCATAGTCATTAAGGCACAGGAAGAGCTCCTCCAACCTGATTAGAAAAAAACAAAGATGTTCTCATTTCACGTTTAAAAAAAAGTCTAATAAACCATATATACATGAGATAGGGCACATACTTTTCCATTTATTTATTTATATCAAATACTGATTGAGTGCCTACTCTAAGAAAGGAACCTTGTCAAGAGTTATAAAAGATACAAGATGTATAAGACATGGCCCCTCCACCCTAAGATCTCATAATCTATCTGAAAGGACAAACCTAACTCATGCAAAACACATGCAAACAATGTAAGACAATATAAAATTCAAAAGCAAATTGTGCAATGCAAACTGTTAGTGCAATAGCAGTTTAGAAAAGTATGAGATCAGTGAGGACAGCAGTAGTCAAGGGCAGATTCAGGAAGGTGAACTATGAGCTGTCTTGAAGAAATGGATAGGATTTGGAGATGGAATGGCAAGGAGGGAGGCTATTATCTGGTAAGAACGAGCAAAATCAAAGATGAAGGTTGTAAGGAATAATGCACGCAAAGGACAGAGAATTAAAATGGGAGAGTAGGAAATAAAATTGGGTAAGTGTCAGCGTGTCAGGGAGGACATTACAAGGACATGATAATTTTGATGTGTTTAAACAATTAAAACAACACAGTTTCATAACATTTAAAAGACTGAGTCTAAACAGCCTATACATACATATTTTTCACGTACAGTTTACTAACTAGTCAGTTTTGATAAAGAGCATCAATAAGTTCATCTTTGAACTGTTGAAAGTATCACCTCCATTAGAAACAGCAAAAAGATTTTCATTACACTAGATAACCTTAATATGCCTTAAAGGAACTATGGTTCCTTCCTGATCCTCCCCTGTCCCTGTCCTCACCATCCAACCCCCACCCTGCAAGAAAAATGCAGTGGGGTATTGGTGATCCAGTAGTGAGAAACACTCCTCTTAAAAGTATTTGTAAATTCTATCCAAATGATAATATCTCTGATGTCCTGGCACCACCAAATACCATAGAGAATTCTAAAGCAAGTACTGCTGCATCATTTTAACCCTACCAACCAATTTTAGAAATTCATTATTTTAAGCTCATTCTCCACTCAAACTGCAGTAATGGTAGTGTGGAAACTAGGAGAGCAACAACAAACTAGAAGTACTAACAAAGATGACAACAGGTGACCCTCTGCCTCCCTCTCCTTTATGCCATGGGCTCTTGGCTTACTCTGGTAATTCCTGCAGTAGCATATGGACTGTTTCCCAAGACGCTTTGCTGTTGTTGAGGACGAGTTTTCTAACCCCAGAAAAGGACCCGGCACATGTTCTCTCTAAAACTGACAAATTCAAAGGGTTGGAACTCAGGTTTAGAAACTCCAAGTGAGGAACATTTGACACAATTTTACTGACCTAGGGAGGAAAAAAGGAGAAGGATATCAGATTGTAATCAAATCCATAAATACTTAAGTCAGCTTCTAGGAGTGTATTATCAAGCAAGGGCTATTTGCTCCATTGAGTCTCATTTCACACTGGTTCCTAACAGTATACAAAGTACAGTTGTGTTAAATCCCACAAAAAGGTGCTAATCTTTTTCTATTACAGAATAACACAACTCATCAAGGAGAAGCAAGAAGAATTATTTATTTTGCCTTTAGCAAAATTTTTTATTCTCTTAATATATTCATCAACAGAAAGGAACATTCTAATTTAGAACATTTAGATAAGCTCCTAGAGGGCAAGAAGCAGGTATACATAATTCTCTCTGTAGATTTAAAAACAAAATATAAAATTACAAGTTTATTAAAGGTTTTTTGTCAACCACTTTGTGAGATCACAACTGACTAGCAGGTAAGCCAGGAATTATTTATAACTCAGTTTCATCTGGAAAGATTTTTTTAGAAGAGAGGGGTCCCAAATTGTCCCAAACATTAACTCATTTTTTAAAAATCATCCATAACTGGGCAATAACATAGAAAGCACGCTCACCAATTTAGCAATTTAGCTAGCAACTTGGGGGATAGGATTTAAATAGCCAAAGCAAACTGGAGACATGGTAAGGAATCACATCAATGAAGACAACTACAGAACAAGATGCTTAGGAAAGGGATCGTATGAGAAGTACTGCCATTGGCAAAGTGTGATGGAGTGTGCTACGAATCATGGTGTGAGAGTTTCTAAACATACCCACACACACATACAGAGACAGACACCCACACACATGCACACACCCATACATCCAGACACATTCACAAATACACAAACATACAAAGACATACACATGTATACACCCACACACATACAAAATATGTACACACATACACACGATATAGGATACTAGAAATTAGGTCATCTTCACTTTCCACTCAGACCTGAAGTATAATGAATGTCCAGTTATGGGCTCCTTGGCCTAAGAACCATGAACATCTCAGGAGTATTGAGAGGAGAGCAACAAGATGTTTAAGTGACTGAGGCAGGGGACTCCCAACAGGAAAGCACAAATAAATTGGGATTACTGAAAAAGGAGAAGAGAAAACTAAAGAGATTCCAATGTGACACTACTATCAACAATGAATGTGTGAATTTAAGTTGTTTTATCTATGAGGGCAGAACTGTACTATTAGTCTGTATTCTGCAGTCCCCATTGCGATTTGCAGCATGCATCTGTGAAAAATCTGGTTCACTATATGGTTATGAAGCTCAGCAAAGCAAACTGGTCCACAGACAAATCAAAACTATGCTTTTAGCTTCGTTAGTCCCAAGCTTTAACCAAATGAATAATAATGGTCCTCAAGTATATGAAGGATTTTCAAAGAGAAAGTAGTGACCAGTTGTACTTTCTCTCTCTACTGTGGATAGCTGAAGAAATGGAATTAAACTACAACATGATAATTGTTAGCTATGGTAAAACATCAATGAATAAGAACCAAAAGAATAATAACTCTACTAACAAAAATATTTTCCTACCTATTTTTATAAGAAATGCAAATGACAAAGAAGTTTGATTGCATAGGGGGTTTGCTTTCTGAAAAGCAACTTTTAGGTAGTATCCTAAGGGCAGACAAATTTAGTCTCGACGTTCCATCATACAATATTGCTGAAGTATAATGAGAATGAAGGAATGATGACCCTGAGGTACTGCAACATACCTAAATCATATCAAACTGAGTTTACTAAATTCTACTAATCCTAATGTATTTTGGAAAATACTACATTTGCTATATATTATACACTAATGTATTTTGGAAAACTCAACAAAAGCTGAAGTAAAAAGGGTTTTCTGATTAAATTTTCAGTAAACAAGAAATTTCAGGATATGCTATTTTCCAGAGCATATTGATTATTTTGTGCTTGAAAGTGTAAGAATTTCCTGATAGCTTGGCATAGAACCATAGGATATCACAGCTGAGGAAAGTGAGGTTCTGAGAAGGTAAATGACATCTCAGAGGTCACAGACCAAGTAACTGGAAAAAAGTGGCCTGCACCTCACAGCCTGTGACTCCAAGACTGGAACTCTTCCCTTCTCAGACACTGGAATAAGTACCTGGAACTTTACATGGCCTCCCCATGTCTAGGAACTTAAAAACAGGACTCTCTTCTACCTGGCATGACTTAGATATGGTCACATAAGGTGGCCAGGACATCTTTCAAGGACTCAATGATTCTATTATTTAATAAGGGACCCTCTACTCTGTTTCAACAAAGGGAGAAACTATAGTTTTAAGAAAAGTGGGAAGAAACATTTGTGAGATAATATCTGTAACTTATACCCAAGCTATTCACTATCCAGACTGAATGGTTAATTGCTCCCTTACCTCAACAGCCTGGTTTAATTTCTTTCATAAAATAGTCTTGATAAAGAGAAAAAAAGGAGATACCTTGGGAAAGGTCAGACAAAAATCTACTTGGCCACAACCTCCAGCTGAAGACTAAAGAATATGCATTTCTTTAAGCTGTGGTGCCCAGCTTTGGGGGTTGTTCTTGTTGGGGGGGGGAGTGCAGTGTCAGAAAAGAGACAGAAATCTTTCCATCTCCACAGGATTTCACAATTCCTCTCACAGCCATATTCTCTTGACCCTCAAGACAGTCAGCAGCCACTAGTTAGGAACACTGAATTTGAAAGGTAATCATATTTACTTAAATCTACCCAGATTAATTTCCCTGAAGTCAGGGCCCCATTTATTTAGTATAGTAAAATAGCAAATGATTTTTAAGATAAATTTGTCATATTGAATACTTCCTAAAATAAATGTATTATTGAATAGCTCTGGCTACAGATCTCTGGCATACAGAGATTTCTGACTGTGACAAAATCTGAACTACAGTGATTTGAAACTGTAAACTAGTGGTCATCAACAGCCTGGCAATGGATTCTATTAATTCTAGTCAACTTATGTCATCATTTTCTGGCTCCATGTATTCCCCCTTCCACATCAGCCTACTTACTAAACTAGTGCACGTACTATAATAGGTCAGGAGGTTTGGGCAAATGATAAAAGGAGAATATGGAGAAAAAATGAAGAGAAAAAAAAACAGGACAAACTGGAAAATGACAACTTTAAGGGAAACAGTAACAAATACATATTTGAAGACTGCCTAACAGAAGGAATAGATGCTAACTAGGAACTCTACTGGGACAAATATAGGCTACACCATTAAATAGGCTTATACTTAAACATAATACTAATTATAGGTTGATCTTAGGCTTTATAGAGGTCAGAACTTTGGGAAGATACAGCCTATATTCACAACATGTGAAACTTGAACTTCACATTTTGATATGGCCTTCAGAAAAATCTCAGTGCAGACCATACTAAAGAAAAAGGCAAATTATTTCATATAACCCCTCATAGTTTTAAGCAAAAAACCATTTTCAGTATGGTCATATAGAACTTGACTCACTTTCCATATGAGATGTCTTTATCACTAGGGCTACTCCTATTACCTATCAACAGCTTTTATCAGTGAATGGCAAAAAAAAACCCCCAAAACAAAAAAAAAAACAACTTAGGAATTTCTTACCCAATAAAAAAATATTAAGGAACAACAAAATATGTACATAACAGTTGAACTAACCTAGAGGAGAAAGCTGAGGGGACCTCTCTATTCAGGTTACAAAACTAAAAATAGTTGGTTTTGTCAATAAATATTTATTAAGCACCCACTAGGTGCCAGACAGTGTGCTAAGTGCTGGGGATTCAAAGAAAAGCAAAAGCACTCCCTGTCCTCAAGAAGCTCACAGTCTAATGGGGGAGACAACATACAAACAACTATGTATAAAGAAGGCATATACAAAATAAATAGGAGATAAACAACAGAGGAAAAGCACTAGCATTAAAAGAAACTGGGAAAGGCCTCTCGTAGCGGGTGGGATTTTAGCTGCATAGAAATACAACTGTCTAGTAGGGTTATCAGGAAGACTTTAGAGGTACAAGAAAACCGTTAAGTTCACTGTTGAAGTTACGCAGTATGGATGAGTGTTAAAGCAACAAAAACCCCTGGGCATAAGCAGAGTCAGGCACATAATTCCCTTGGCAGAGAATGTTATCCACATGGGTGAAAAATGAAAATGTTCTTCTCAAGTAGAGGATACTCCTTAGCTCACTCACACAGGCAGCAGGTCAGAGATTACATGCAAACCAGATAACACAGATCTCAAAAAGTTTAGGGTGGAACTATAATAATGTAAGAATTTTAATAAAATGACATATATAACACTAAAGGCAATGAGCTTAAATGAAACTGCAACATAGGGAAAGAAGGGCAGGAAAAAATAAGGTAGAGCAGTAGATTCCCTCGAATCTCCTACCAAGCCTGACCTGGAATATGAGTAACACTAAATAACCTTCTCTATGCCTCAGTTTCCTCATTTAAAAATTGGGGGTTAAGCTATATGACCTGTAAGGTACATCTGAGATTTAGTAGAGTGTTTCACCAATTAATCCAACAAGCACCCTTGACAGTGAGTCCATCTGTGGTTAACAAAAGAGGAGATTGAAGCATAGAGGGATTAAGTCAATTGCTCAAGGTCACAGGGCAAGTTAGGAGCTCAGGGAAGAAAAAAAAAATTGGTCCTAAACAATTTACTGAATGTCTACCTTAAAAATGGAATACATGTAGAGTTCGTGTAGAAACAACCATATTCCTCCCTCATTCTTAAAGGTGGCCCTTGTCAAGTGAGGACAGAGACTGTAATTGGCAAGGTGAGGGGTGTGATTTATTATGGACTTAAAACCATGTTTAGAAGATGTAAGCTCATATCAATCTTTCAAAAACACTTAAAAATAAAGTAAGAAATTTTTAAAGATTTAACATTAAAGAATTAACATCTTGAATAAAATAAAGGAATGAATAAAGTGAATAATTCTTTTTAATAACCACAGTTTCAAGATTCATCAATTGTTATTTCAATACAGTAATACTGAAGAAACAGCAGAGATTGAATGTAGGTATGGGATATTTTATCAGTTTATAAAATGATAAAGTATGGGATATTTTAATGCTTTACTATTGTTTAGTATTTAGCATTGCTTTCAGTATTTTAGTATTTATTATTGCTTCAAACCTTGGGAGTTTCATTGACCTCTTACCAATCTCAGTGTGTTGTGCACTAAAAGAAAACTGTAACAAGGAAAATTCAAGAATCACCACAGTCAGATAAATGAAGTTTGAATGTGTCTGAGTCTTTGTGGTTATTTTCCCTGATGGATACAAAGTAATAAACACAAACCTCAAGTGAAAATTAGAATTCAGAAGAATTCAATAAAACAGACATATTTACCTCTTTTGAAGTCACCAAAAGAAGTATCACAAACATTACTGTAAAGAATGATAATATGGTTCGAGCTGCATTTCACCAACATGCAGCTGTATAACTTTACCTCATGCCAGTCTTCAAGTTTATTGTCAGAAAGATCTAATTCAGACACATGGGCACAGAAGGCAGCAATTTCATTTTCATCTCCTGCACAGGTAATTCCGCAGCTGTTCAACACCAGTACACTTGGGAGGTTGAGCCGATCTGAAAGGTTCAAGAAGTAAAAGGATAAAAAAGTGTTGGGTCCCCAGGGGAATGAGCCAGGCCCAGAAGGAAATTACAAGTATAAGATCAGAAGCAATTTAAAAAGCTATTTGATCTTTACCCTCTGGAAAGACCCTAAATTTCAAATGTACTACAATAAAGAAAAAATCCATGGCTAGTTCATATTAAGAGCCAAATATACGCCAATATCCAGATTACTACAGACTCCCCATTAGCTTCAAACTTTTCTTTTATGGAGGGAGCGGAGAGTTTGAAGAAGGGGAAGGAATAAGTATTTATTAAGCTCCCACTATGTGCCAGACACTTATTAAGTGCTTTACAAATATTATCTCCTTTAATCAAGGTAAGTACTTATTATCCCCATTTTACAACTGAGGAAGCAGAGGCAAACAGCAGTTAAGTATCGTGCTCAGGGTCAAACAGTTACAAAGGGTCATATATTTTTCCCAACTATTATCTTTCCCTCATCTCATTTTTATCTTCTCCAATTCCTGCCTTCAGAGATTCTCCCATGCCACCTCTTATACCTATACCACTAATCCATCAGTTAAATCATCTTTCTTCTCTGAAACAAAAACGGACCCATTTATACTCCTGCATCTTTTTTTGCATATTTGCCAAGTTCATCAGTCATTCACTACTCATCTTTAATCAACTCCTCCTCTTCTTTTTGGAGGCAGAGATGTGGGCATGGTTAAGCACTGTACTTCACAGGGATGGGGTATAGATATAGACTAGAGATTATACACAACTGTCAATTTAGTACTTTTTAATGGTAAGAGTGAGAGAAAACACAACAATTGGCATGCGTTCACGTGATTTCTGGAAAATCCCTAACCAGAAGATTCCACCCTTCTCTGTTATGAGAGGGATCACAAAGGCTGAAGATTGCTGTACCAGGAGATAACATGTAATTTGTATAAATTCCTTCTCTGGAGTCAAGGTAATGTTTTTTCTTACTTAATGCTAGGTTGGTTGAAATGCAGATTAACCATATTTCTAATTATGCATAGCCAAACACCCACTAAATATTTGGACATGACAACTTAAAACATTAGTAATATTGTTCTTCATTAATAGGGAGGTAGAAATATTTTCTGAAATAGTTCATTATTTATACCTATTGAAAGGTATATATGTTTTGTGCATACTCACTTGACATCCTTCTTTGTTCGTGGCATTCTTCACACAACATACTTTTTCTTTTTTCTCTCTACTCTTTTGGATTCTCCCCCACCTTCAGTGGGAAGCCTTCTCTGAGCAGCTCAATCATCCAGCTTTCTTCTGAATTGCTATAGTGTACTCCACGTCTACACCACTCACTGGGCAATCAACATGCACTTCCTTGTGTGGTCAATTAGCAAATGTCAGACACTATATTAGGTGTTGGGGATCCAAGTATAAAGATAAATCCCTACTTGCAGAGAGCTTACATTTTAATGGAGACCTTCCATACTAATTATTTTATGCAGGCATGGTTTTCTTTCCCTGATTAGAAAGGGACCCTTGTGGGCAGAGACTGTCTTCTACTTCTTATCTCTACTAGTGTTCTGCCTGGTAAACACTGAGTAAATATTTGTGGGTTCACTAAAAGGAGGAAGGCAGGGTAAAGAGAAAAATTTGGTTCAAAGGGTCATTCTTGTGCAACAATAACCTCTTAAACATCTTCAGGTCACTTAATTTCATATTCAGTTTGAAAATATTATTGTTAGGTCCACAGGGGAGTAGAAACACATTAAAAGGGAAATTTACTGTCAATTCCAAAAGATCATCCTGCTCAGGTGACTGGGCACAGAGGAAAGTATTTGCAAAATAAAACAATCTTCTGGTTCTATTTTCTAATTACCTTTCATTGGAGAACCCTGAGGTGTGGCTGGAACATGAACTCCCATCCCAGGACCACGGCGATAGGGGAAATTCTCAGGACTGTATTTTTCACATAAAACTTGCATGAAACTTCTTCCACTTGGTTGGTCCATCTTCCTTTCCTAGAATTCTATAAGCAAAAGAAAATTAATCTAATTAATTAATTTAGCAAATATTTATTGAGTACCTATAGCATAGGAGGCACTGTACTAGACACAATATATATGGCAGTGCCTAATATTTCCAGAGTTTATTAACTAGTGGGAAAAGCAATTCTTTCAGGATCTGTGATTTTGTCAGTGCTTCCTCCATGGATATATAGGTAAGAACATCTCTATACTTTAGTATTTAAAGTCTTTCGCGGTTGCTGGGGCTGAAGAAAAATTATCACCTTGGGGCCAACATGGTGGTGAACCACTCTGAACTTAGCTAGGCTGGTCCTCAGGAAAACAGATTGGCATAGTCGTTGATAATCCAGGATCATCTATATGCCATAATGAAACATCAGAGTAGGATTTTAGGGAAGGAAGAAAGCTTTATACCCAAATAAATATCAATACCAAATCAAGGCAATTTATGATCAGTGTGTTTCATTGGTATAGACAGTAAGTGCCATAAAAATTCAAAGGATAAAGAGATCATTTCCAGCTGGGGGGATCAGTTTCATGCAACAAGTAGCATCTCAACTAAAGCCTGAAGGATGAGTAGGATTTCAACAAGCAAAGAAGGCATTTCAGGTAACAGGGACAATGTAAGCAAAGGTGCAAGTTGGCAGAATAGTGCAAAGTGTGTTTTGGATTTGGTGAGCAGAACATAGCTAAAGCAGAGGGGTTGTGGTAAATAAAACTTGAAAAACAGACAAAAGAACACACATTATAGAGGGCCTTCACTGCCAGGACCTCCAGTTTGGATTATGTTTTGAAAGGCAATGAGAACCAATGAACTTCTTGAGCAGTTAGTTAAGTAACATGACAGAAAAAGTTTTCTAGGAAGATTAATCTGGAGACAATGTATAGACACTGTGAGGGAAAAATTCACAGAACACAGATTGTATGTGTGAAGTGTAGAAGCAAAAATGGTCAGATTCCTATGAGGTTCAATTTCAACTAGGATGACAGGGAGGCATGAGATACCATTAACACAAATACCAAACTTCAAGTTTGGATTTAGATAATTACTACTCTCCAGGAAAGACAAGAACAGTGTATAAGATGTTTTTGTTTTGCCATCCATTCCTCCACTCCTCCATCCATTGTGAGCTCATCTATTAAGTTAATTACCCCCCCAAAAAAGAAAGAAAATTAAAGAACCATAACACTTTAAAAACAAACACATTCATTAAATGCACGCGCGCGCACACACACACACACACACACACACCTTTTCAAAGTGAAATCAGACTTACTGTTTAACTCAAAAGTAGTCTATTCCTTTCCATTTCAAGCCTAGGTAAGGCCTTCCCTAAATAACCCCAAAAGAGTCTAGTCATCAAAAACTACAGCAAACCCCCAGCACTTATGTGTATGTTAAAGCAGATAATGTTGCATAGGCCGTTTGACATTAGCTGATTAATAAACCTTGGTTAGAGGGATTGGTAATGTTCAGTATTTAACAGAAAACAAGTAACTAACACCAACTTCTCATTCGTACCCATCGGGTGCGAGGTCAATTTTCTAGTATTTATACTACTATTACAAGGCTTTGTACCTCCTTATTTGGTCATTATAACAATCCCCAGTGAAGGTAGCATTATCCTCACTTTTTAGGGAAGGAAACAAAGACTTAGAAAAGTTAAGCGAATCCTTCACAATCTGGCTTCTGCCAAAAAACAAAACTATTTTTACTGATGTCTTTTATTTAATTTTTATGCCAGTTATTTCCTGATACAACAACTTCACCTGAACTCCCAGCCTCTTTCCAGACTTCTTTGACACTTCTCTTTTTTACGAATTGTACATTCTAGTCAAACTAGTCTGCTTCATGTATCTTGAAGTCAAGTCAACAAACATTTATTAAGTGCCTACTATGTGTTAGGCACTATGCTAAGTGTTGAGAATATAAGAAACTCCCTGCTCTCAGTAAGCTCACAGTCTAACGGGGGAGAAAATATTGCAAACACTTAGGTGCAAAAAAGATATGTAAAGGATAAATTGGAAATAATCTTGAAGTAAAAGTGCTAAGATTAAAGAGAACTGGGAAAGGCTTCTTGCAGAAGGTGAGACTGTATCTGAGACTTAACAGAACCCCTGAGAAGCCAGGCATGGGGAACAGCTAGTAAAATTACCCAAAGTTCAGGAGCTGGAGTGTCCTGTGTGAGGAACAAGAAAGAGGCCAATTGTCACATGATTACAGATTACATGGAGGTAAAAAGACTGGAAAGATAGGAAGGGGCCAGGTTATGATGCCTTTGAACACAAAGCAGAGGAAAAATAATTCTTTAAGTGTCTATGATTTTGTCAGTACTTCCTCCATGGATACAAGTCACAAAATCTCTACGTCTTACTATTTAAAGTCTTTCATAGCTGCTGTGGCTGAAAAAAAATTCATCACCTTGGGGCCAACACAGTGGTGAACCACTCTGAACTTAGCTAGGCTGCTCCTCAGGAAAACAGACTGACACAGTCGTTGATAATCCAGGATCATCTACATGACATAATGAAACATCAAAGCAGTTTTCCACATCCTGTCATTTCTTTTTTTGTAGTTTCTCTCCTGTATGTCCCTGTCTCTCTTCTGTCACCGCCACTATCCTGGTACAGACCCTCATCACCTCATGCCAAGACTACTGCAGTAGTCTGCTGGTTGATTTCCTTGCCTTAACTCTCCCTAATCCAGTCCACTGTCCACTCAGCTGTCAAACTGTTCTACCTAAAGTACAGGTCTGACTATCTCACCCCTCCCCCCAAATCAGTAAACTCCAATGACTCCCTTTCACCTCCTTTATCTGTTTACGTGTTGGATGCAAGCTCCTTGAAGAAGGAGTATTTTCAGATGAACTGAATTGCTCAAGGTCACATAGCTTTCAAATAGCAAAGCCAGGATTCAAACCTATTTTCTCATTCCAAAACATTTTCTACTATACGACAATTAAACTTGTGTAGTAATTTTTGCCCATGGCCTACACAAATGTTTATACCAAGTCAATTCCAAAATATATAAAGATATAATCGAGAAGTGAAAGGTAGGCTCACACCAGCAGCCATGTTTATAATGTATATTAGCTATAACAAATTTAAGTCCTTAATACATGGTCGATTGATTACTTCCTTATCCTTATACTTGTCTGCATTGTTTTACTTTACATGAGATCTTTTTCTGATTTGATGGCTATCTCTTCCATTAAATCAAAATGGAAGTATGCAACGATGTAGTCTATTTCTTTTATATCTACTCATAACTCTGGTATAGTACACTACACATGGTAGGTAATACTAAGCTGACAGACTTATCCTCTGGGGTGATTTAATGACTTTCAGAAACATCCCAGTTAAGTTATGTCAAAAGGAGGAAATCAAAAAACTAAGCACGAAATCTTAAACCAGCATCAGGGGGAAAAACTAAAAGAAATGTTGAACTAAATAACCTTTAATTCTCTTCCACCTCTATGATTTCATGATTCTAAGATTCTTTAAATCCTTAGATCATGCTCCTTGAGTTGAGGGACCATATCTTCTTTTTATTTTAATTTTTTATTTTATTTTATTTTTACCAGGTCTCTAAACAGTGGGTACTCAAGTACCATGTTGGCTGATAATCTATTTCATTTTCAATAAAAGGTTAGATTACGGAGAGTAACTTTGATGGATCTTGCATAAGTAAAGAGAAAAAGATGAAACCACCATATATATGTTCAGTATACTCTTAAAAGTGCAAAGATTTGGCTTACTTTAGCCTAAGATAGTTTATATTTTCTGCATAACTCCTGTCCTCTATCTCATATTTGATCATATATAAAGACTGATCTATGTTTGGTTCATCTGGGCTTTGGGGAGCAGTTGGGTCAAAGTGCACCATATCTTATCACCTACCAGCAGCAGACAGTCTAAAACAATAGCTTTATGACTGACTCTAGATAGTGACCCCTATTAAGTCATAAGTTTCTAGATACTGAACAGTTCAGCACAGTCATTGTTGTTGCTGTTTTTTAAGGGGTAAGACAGCATGACCCCTACCATAAAATTGAGAGTTGAGAAGAGTGAAAGATGAAAAGCTGCTAGAATGACTTCTGACAACTCATGTCCTGTTTATCTTTGCTTCTTTGGTCTGGAGGTTTCAGAAATCTCTAGACGCTGGTGAAAAGTTACAATGTGGAGGCAACATTCTTATACCCATTCTGGAAACAGACAAAGCCAGGGACACAGAGATTAAATGTTAAATTCAATTTGAAATTCTTGATAGACCTGCGAACCAAGGAATCTAACAACTTCACCAAACTATCTTTTGTTTCTCATGTCCCATTCCACGCCGCTGCTGCCCCACTTCGCCCCCCTGGCCACTCCCCGGTCCTGTGTGAAAAGCAATTGTAGGCGCCATTATTGGTCATTTTCCAGGGTTCTGTGCTTGAATTGCTTTCCAGGAATGCAGATGCCATACACATTAATATAGGGGTTTTAAACTGAATTAAGATTGTAGAATGGATCAGTAACATAAATCTATTTAAAATCAGCTGTAGTAGCTTAAGAAGGAACAGGGGGTGGGAAGAAAAGGCTCACACCTAAAACAGATTGAAAAATGAGCAAATATAGGATGGTAAGAGACCCTACTGTGAGGCCTTTTAAAAGGATTTTTTAAAAAACCTGATGACTTTCTGGAAATAACAGGTGTCAAATTACTTTTGACAGTATCTAATGTTGGCAGAGTGCTAATGCATCCGTAAGAGTTTGTGATGGAGCCAGGCATCCTGGGCACTGTTCTGTGGTTCCATTACCAAATCATCGAGTGATCCCTGTGAAAATCACAAGCCCTTTGTGCCTCAAGTTCCTCAGTGCATAATACAGATAATATAATGCTTGTATAGAACATGGAAACCAGCCAGTTAAAGGAATAATGTCAAAACAGCACAGTCTTTCAAATAAATCATCCCCTAATAACAAACCACTTATAATTAGTGCCCTGCAAACAGAGGGCAAGTCTGGAAAGTGTCTACTGTCCAAGTTGCAAGATTAATTTTGACTTTATTAAGTAATTCTTACATTTCATAGTATGATACATCAGATATAAATTCTTGTTACCATTTCCAATAGACAGAGGTAGCCCTCAATATAAATAACATATGAATTATCATAAAGGGATAAAATTCAATATTGTAACAGCAAGGGATATCAGCAATCTCTAGAAATTCAAGATTTGCCAAAAAATATCTATGTTATTTCCCTATTCAAACCTTTACCATCTAATTTCTTCAATGGATTTTCACTGTCTACTGAATATAATTCAAACTTTTTTGCCTATTAGTCAAGTTTTCTAGGATCCTAGCTTAATGTCATGCTCATCCATAACTTGCCTGGTTTGGGAGGCAAATCACCATTTATTGGTCTAGAATAGGAGCTCACTTTTTTTTTGTGCCATGGCTCCCTTTGGCAGTCTGGTGAAGCCTATGGACCCCTTCTCAGAATATATTTTACTAGAATGTTTTTAAATACATAAAATAAAACACATGATTACAAAGGAAAATAATTACATTGAAATAGTTATCAAAACATTAACAAAAAGAAATTAATGGCACCCAGGTGCCATTACAAGAAGCCCTTGTAAGTTTCCAAGATTCATTTTGAAATACTGCTTATGCCAGCACTCTAGCTAGCATTCTCATTTCTCTTCTCACATCATAACCTTGGACTCTGCTCCTAGGTCCCCTGGAGGGGAATCAGGCATCCATGGTATTTCTCAGCTATTTCCTAACCATGTCTCTGCTAGTGTATTCAGCTCTCCTTACAGTTTTCCCTCATCATTAGCATGTAAGCTCCTTAAGAACAGGGACTATCATGCTTGTTTATATTTGTATTCCCAGTGCCTGGCAGATAGTTAGTGCTTAATAAATTCTTTAGCTATCTATTTTTTAATGAGAGGTTAACAAATTTGAGTAACAGTTCCACAATATTTCCTTAAAGTACTTTCAAAATTCTTGGCCAGATGTCATTCATTTCCAGAGAAATAAACCAATTTTCTTCATCTAATTAAATATAGTGAACCTTGTGTCCTCACCACTATTCTATGACTTACCTATAATCTGTCACCTTCAAAAGACAGTCTGGGGGACGGCAAGGTGGTGCAGTGGATAGAGCACCAGCCCAGGAGTCAGGAAGACCTGAGTTCAAATCTGGCCTCAGACACTTGACACTTCCTAGCTGTGGGACCCTGGGCAAGTCACTTAACACTGACTGCCTCAACAACAAACAATACATAGTCTTGGACTAGAAATGTTCACAAAGCAATTCATTTATTTAAACTTTCTGCTAGCCCCTTTCTAGCCAGCATGGGTGTTGCCTCAGTCAAAGTGAGAACTCTTAAAAAGGCTAAGGTCTCCTACTGCATCCTGGGCCATCTCCAGCTGGTGACTCTGCACAACCCTCCCTCGCTGAAATCCAATTCAGTTCCAAGTTACGGCATCATCTTCTTAAAGGCATGGTCCTCTTCGAGAAGGAACCACAACCAGTCCCTTTCTACCACGACTAGCAAGTAATTCCACTAGCTCTCCAAGTCACCTTTCCTTTCCCTTTAAGGATTTAAAGTATCTTTTATTCTCAGTGGTTTTAGAGAATCTCAGTAAAGATCTCTTCGAATTATTTTTTTGGTTTGCCTAAGTTCATCTTATGGACTTCCTAATTCTTCAGCAGTCTTTTCCATTTTTTGAAAAGAAAGCATCTTTTCTATGAGAGTCCCTCAGACTTTGCAGTTAGTAATGTAAGATTTATTTACTTATTTTTTAAAGCTGGATCATCCAGATGCTCAACACAAATTTAATTTAGGTTTATAAGGTATTTATCAACCTCAAGAAAAGTTGATATAGCTAAATTTAAGAAAAAAATTAAGATAAATTCCTGAATGACATATGAATATCCACCGAGGCCAACAAATCACATTTACAAAGCTCTTTGTAAAAAATGTTTCTCTTACACCAACACCACCACACTATGAAGTAGGTAGTACAAGTATTAGTGTCACCCTTTCAGAGATGATGGAACAGAGGCTAAGAGAACTAAGTGACTCTGTGGGGCTAGGGACTAAACCCCAATTTTTTTGTTCCAGTTCTTTTTCCACTACACCATACTGTCTTTCTGTGAATCCCCTTGTTTCAGTTAGACAGAAAACTAGGCTTGAAGGAACAAAGTTGACTAGAGTACGGTAATTATTATTCCATGTATTGAGGTTACTTATTCTAATTCAGTTCTGATTCTCATGAATGTTGTTCAAATAATATACACAGAAAGGCTGCCAACTTTGGAGAAAGATGAGTAGAAGAAATAAACTGTAAAAAAACACTTATAGTTGTCTTAAAGAATTGTTAACCAATTCACTAATTTTTTACTAAAAGCATTTCGACTGATGAACCTGAATGGTGCTGATAAATTATCATACCATACCAGCCACAAGATTTCACACTGTAATATATTCCACCCTATTTAAAGTATTTTCACTTTTCAAGATCTCTGAGCCACAAAACACTGCACACAAGTCTGGAAGTATGGCATGTCAACTTTTTTAACCAGAACACAAATAATAATGCTGTCAAATGAAATGGAAATCTAGATGTTCTGTTCATTCCTCTTAGTATGAAAAGATTATTCTAATTTCTTACAATTTCATAATTACCATGCTTCTTAAAGGAAACAATAAAAACAAAACCTATTCACAAAGTTTTCTACATTACAACAGATTCTTCATTTCTACTTCAACCCTAAAGGAAGATGTTGAATAATTTACCATTTTGAAGCCACAACATTTATAATCAAAAGCTAAATTTTAAGGAGAAAATGCAACTTCAAAATGATCCCATTTCATATGTAAAGTTCAATAGGACAAAACACTCAAATCAAGTATCAAATCATCGGTAAATATGATTTACTCTATGCCTGTCATTTTATTATAAGACACATTACTTTAATCTTCTAATTTAAATGTATCATACCAAGACTTCTCAATCTTTTAAAAATTTTCAGAGAAAGGTTAAATAGTAAGAGTCATAACAATTAAAATGAGAATATAGTTTTAGTTAGGCTGAAAGCATAATTTTCAAAATTGTGTGGAAATATATCTCTTCACTTTGCTTTGTAAACATTCCTTTCTCAACCTCCCTGGCTCTCTGCCCAAAACATTCATTCACTTGACAATTCTTTATTAATTAATGTTCTTGACCAAATGAATGCTTCCATAAACAGGTCATCCTGTAATACAGAGCAAAGCTACTTTCTATATGACCTCAGACACAAAGAAATATGTAATATGTACTACCCTTTTCTCCAAATTTCCAACGAGACTTTTTTCCACTCTGCAGCTGGACAGACTGTCTTCTTCACAAATGAATATACATCTAACCTACATTTCTAGTTGTCCTGGACCCTTTTGAGGAAAGCTCCAAATATTTAAACTTATTCTTATTTAAGTTTTGAAAGTAACTATTTAAACTTGGAACCAACAGATGAAGCAAAGTGTTCCTATACTGAGTAAAAATTATTTTCCTTAGTAATTTTCCACAAGAACCTCTGAGACAAGCTAACACTTGTCTCTATTTTATAGGACATGAATCTAAGATGACTTGCTTAGGTTTCTGTGGTACAAAAACAGCATGCTAAAACTAAATATATCTTCTATCTCACCAGCCTGTTGGGTTCTGCTACCTTTATTAAATAAGAAACATTTGACGTCTCCAGCTAGTTGTTTATGACAGTACATGAATTATACTTAGGTTGCTGACACATCACTTATTAAAATGACAGGAAAACATTGCAGCCAAATCAAAGTAATTGAACAAATGAACTTTTCTAAATAGAGGTATTGATCTCTCTACTAGAGATAAAAAGGCTCTTTAACAGCTGATCCCATAAAGGGAGGTCCCCACCCCTACCCCCCAACCAGATGTTATTAGACCTCATCAGAACATTTTACAGGCATGTTTTCTTTCTGCTGTGAATATACAAGTTTAAGGTCATTACTCAGCTATCTGGGGGAACAGATTACCTCTACTATCTCTGTTCAGGAGTAGCTCCAGAAGCTGCCACATTAAAGTGAAGCCTCATTAGAGACAAACAACTAGCCATCATTCTACATACAGCAGAAATTTACAAACTATTCTTGTTAATCAAGAAGCATTTCTAGAATTTTAAAACTACAGCA